AAATAATCTCAGTACAGAGTACTAAAAAAACCGACCTCAAAAGTACGTGGAATTACATCTATTTGCCAAGTTTTATTGCAATCGGTCACCGGAAAGTGCGGAACCCCGGATTCATCCCCTAGTTCGCCACTATACGGAACTTGACTCAGGAGATAATAAAAATCGGTTCTCACAATTCAAAGTATATTGAGAGAGAAAAACGCCGTGAATTAGAGATTAGCAAAATCAACCATTAAAATAATTGCTCCTTATAATAAAATTTAAGCGCTATTTATAAAAATGAATCTTCATGCGTGAACAGCCACTCTTAGAGGAGGATTTTCTTCAAAATGAAATGGGACCACTATAGAGGTACCCTCTTTCCAACAAAAAAAGAATCATGAAAATCGGTGCACAAATACCGGAGTTGTCCCGTAACATTAATACAAAAAAAAGTCGAATGGAGAACCTCCTCCTTTTTTTGATGTCGGTTAAAAACTAGGATTGATCACGCCACTTTCGATACTTTAGTAGAAACGGTATTGTTTTGACACATTCATGCAAAACCATTTGTATGAATACAAAGACTGTTGTACAGTACATCCAGTTCATAGTTTTTCGCAATTGTTACACATAGAAAGTAAATCTATTTTTTCGGATCTAAATATCATGTATTTGATTTTTCAAACAAACCAATAACTACTGACTAGTCAAACATGACCATGGGTTCTGTAAGAGGCCCAAAACGTTGGTTTGTTGGAAAAAACAACAATACGGGATTAAGATCCGAAAAAATACTATCATTTCCAATATTACGTACCACTTCAAAGCCCAAATACATTCGTCCAACTGTTTCTCTTTTGCAAAACATCGTTTATGTCATATCATCGAGTATACAACCAGAAATAGAAACGATATGTCGTTTAATTTGTTTGAAAACAATTCAGCCAAATCATTATTGTGACAACTACGCACCGATTGGCCAGCCCGAATTCGAAACAATTGACGGGAGTACTCAGTTGCTTCACTTCAAATCGTCCAGTTTAACTTGAGCTTTGCTATAATGGACGAAAATTGCAAAATTACATATTTAATTACCAATTAAAAGTGATTCCGTTTGTTTTGTAATTAGATGTTTTGTTGTTTTTCCCCCACCACCGAATGGAACAGACCTCATTGTTAGAGATATTATCTTTATTACAAGAATTTGGAATATACGGAGACGTACAAACAGGTCAGTTGTTGGCGCTGTACTATTTCAGTTTTCTAAACAGTTCACATTTAAAAGTGATATAAGGCCATTTACCTGATGAGTTGCCCGGGATGGGTGGCACTTATTTCTGGATATATACTTGATGTGTCATATGAAAGAAAGGAATAAACGTAATGACAACTCGCTCTAGCTACTAAGGGACCTGGATACATGGCTCTATGTAGTCTCAGTACTTGACTACAGCGAAGCTAAAAAAGGAAGGGTTTTATTATCTTAGGGTCGCAATAGCATATTTTGGAGGAAGCTTGGAACATTAGTCAATGTTTGCGCGAATCTATACTTTATAATGTATACATAAGGTCTTGTATATCTCTACATACATCTACGCTTGGCGAGTAAAGTGAATTGCGGAATTGTCTTTTTTGTTTTTCTTGTTGGCGCCAAGCTTCGAATAACTTCCTCCAAGTTAAGGCTGACTTGCTTGAAACGCCCTAGAAAATAAATTAGGCCCTCTGTTAGTTGATATAGACGCGACTTGAACACAATAGGCCTTCACGTGACTAGTGGAATTAGCTCGACCAATCACAATCGCGAGATTCGCGAAGCGCGGAATGGGGCGCTCGTGATTGGTCGAGCGCTCTCCTATAGCACGTTGCGTACGTCACGTGATCTTGTCATACGTCCTAAGCCTACAATTACCCACATGAATTTGGTATATTAAACCTGAAGAGCTAATAATACAACGTTAAAAAGTCGGAAAAAACGCTCTTAAAATTTCACAGTAGTCGCCGAGTCACAGACGGCATTAACAGTGGACGAGTCAGGCGTTCCGCCGGGTACGTACGGTGAAGACGACCTGCGTGGGCGCCAGGTTGTGCGTGGGCCAGCGCAGCAGCAGGTGCTCGGTGAGCTTGTTCTGCTGCGCGTCGTACAGCGACAGCAGCAGCTCGGCCGAGTCGTTGAGGCGGCACACGAAGTTGTGCACGCGCACGCACACCGAGTAGTTGCGCGCGGCGGGCGGGATGCTGGCCGCGGGGCTGCTGGGGGTGGTTTCCTGGCGGGTTGGACGCATGCGCTCGAGAAATCACTCCACAGGCGATACAATGTCGATAACAAAACACTTTATAGCGCGCTTTAAAAAGTGTTCAACCCCATCTCGGGGCGCTTACATAAACTACTGAGATAGAAAGAAAGATCAGACTATGTTTTCTCGACATTGGCATTTTATTTCTTGACATGATATAAAATATTTCTGCAACTTTTTTCTAAAAAAACCGACCTTAAAAGTTCGTGAAATTACATCTATTTGCCAAGTTTTATTGAAACCGGTTACCGGAATGTCCGTAAAACCGGATTCAATCCCCAGTTTTGCCACACTTAGAGTGGAATATTTTCTTCAAATTTAAATGGGATCAATACTGAGGTACCCTCTTTCCAACAAAAAAAAAAACCATGAAAATCGGTTCACAAATATAATCAGGAGTACATACAAAAAAATACAGTCGGATTGAGAAGCTCTACCTTTTTTGAAACCGCTTAAAAATAAAAATAATTAAAATACACTCACCATGTTTTTCTCTATTCGTGCGTTGGCTTCATCGTGGAGCAAATTCAATTTGTACGTGGAAACGCGAAGGGGGTCGATTAATTGTCCACCTGCCGTACGCACGGCAAGCTCCATTCCTAATGTCCTGGTAAGTATCAGAATTTTCATAAAAAACCAGTGGCGAGATTATAACATAATTGGTTAATTACAGCCAGTCTTGCTACCAACTTGAAGTAGTAGGATAGAAGCGGTGCTACTCGATACGTCACGTACCGTCCCTAACATCCCTATTTAGCGACCCGAGTGATAAGGAGTTCCGGGGAGACTACGGGCTTCCCGGTAAAAGCAGGGTACGGCGGGTGTCTCTAGCGCACCCGGACTTGGGTATGGACTCGCCGGGGTTTGTGGATAGCTGCAGGGATGAACACGTTCTGCTGCACCGGTAGCATGTGTGTTAATAGCGGTCTAGACGAGGGCCTGATCTGGTGCGGCGACGCGCAGGAGACTTGAGTTACCCTTTAAGTCGTTAGCTATGTCCGGACATTGTCGTAGGACTCTGCTACCAGCATCTCTGGCACTAACCCGAAAAGTTAGTAGAGGATGATCTAGGCATTCTCCGGTCGGAGACGCCGTTTATCGGCGTCGGGAAGTGAGCGTGCCTACAGCTCTGGTACCTATCTGGAAAATAGGGAGGGAGTTGTACGTGCACCCGAGGCGGCTCACCTAAGGCACTAGCCTTACAGAGAACCGGATGAATTCTGTGCAAACGGGCTGATCTGGGATTAGGACCTGATTTAGATGGTTCGCGGGCATACTCACGCAGGTCATAGTGTCCTTCTCGTATACCCTAAGGATCCGCAGGGAGGGTCACCATAATCAAAACTAATGTAGAAAGATATGGGGGTATAAGATAACGTATAGGATACCGTCCACCGGTTCTTAAATCTAATGCAGCGCCCATTTAAAAATACAAAATGTACCGTGAGACAAGAATCTAAGCAGATAGTTAAAATAGTCAAGTGCTAGACAGCTATACCAGTATCGTGGTCTCAAACCGGAATTCCTGGTGTGAGTACCATAGGAACGTAACTCCGTGGCTCTAACCAGACAATTCGACCAGAACCAATTTAGAACGGTGCGTTTCCCTAAATTAATCCCACTGCGCACTGGGAATCGAACCCGGGACTTCCCCATTTAGCGCCCATTGTGCCAACCATTAGGTCATCCAGTGATCGTTTCATCATTTTCAATCATTTTAAGATATCTTCGAACTTTCGAAATTAACAATGGATTGCTATATCGGTAGAAGAGGAAAAGGTGTACTGTGATAAGATATCTATGTGTAACTAGCGATAACGAACATACATTTTGAAAAGCATTGTTTGAAGCATCGTTACCTATTGCCCTTGTCGATAGTGAAGATCGCAGTCCGCGCGACGCGCCGCAGCTGGTCCTGCGGCAGCGCGCCTGACGCGGCCTGCGCGCGCAGCTCCAGTAGCGCGCGCATGCTTACTTCCATAAACTTGAAACGGTCGTCGTTGTCCTGGAAAACAGCATGGAAGACATAAGCACTTCACAAGGTCACTTTAAGGGTGACAAATACGACCCCACCTTCATCATATGGACTTTTCGCAATAAAATAAATGGGTATTTTTTAAATACAACTAAGTGCCTCTGTGGCCGAATGATTACCATGCTGGGCTGCCACGCAGAGATCCCGGGGATTTGTATGACCTACCTATATTTATTTCTCTCGTGAGTTTGATTGATAGAGCGTAATTATTATTGTGTGTGTCCATGGCTCCCGAGGTACAGGGTCTCCCTAGTGTGGGCTATGAGTGTGTACGTTAAAAAAACACTTATATATAAGCGAGGCTTTATTTTTCGTAAAGCTTATAGTAAATTTCAAATTATATTTCGCGCATAAATTCCGGAAACCTTTGAGGTGCGAGTCCGGATGCAAACCCACGGTCTCTGCTTGTGAGGCGATAGGTCAAACCATTAAACTACCATAGCTTTTTAATTACAGCTAAAAAATATCCAAGTCTTTTATCGATGATTATTAGTTAATGTTATCTTTTTGGATTGACACACGTTTACGTATTTGATATTGTGATTTTGGGCAACTACATGTTCTGTTTTAACATGACTAGTCTTAACTCTCTATTTGTTTACTTAAAGGCGTTGCTTTAACAATTGAAAATAATAAACAGATTGTGTAACTTTGTAAGTCCGATTTTGCACCGGGATTTTTGCACATTTTTAATTTAATAATTATAATGTTATTATGTCTTTTTACCTTCATATACTTGTGTCCCATAGTTTTGTTACCATTTCCTAACTTTCAAACTTACATTAAAAATATTTTAATTGAAAAGTCATATTACAAAATTGTAGACTACGTGTTATATAAAGATGTATGGAAAGACAACGATGAGTCTAGATTCCACACAAATATGATTCAAATTTATTCTACAGCATTTAAGTTTATTAGAAGAGCAATCCCTACAGTTTCTTGCTCGTTCTTCTCAGGGGGTGACAGGCCGAACAAGTCGTGTGCCTGATGGTAAACTACACGCCTGTCCATAACAGTTGTAGCGTCACCCTGAGACATAAGATGACAAGTCCTATGTGCCTGTAATTTAACCAACACCCTTCAAAACGGGAACACATTAATGCTGACATCACAGGTTGGCGGCAGAAATAGATAAGCACTACTTCCCTAGACGAACTCTTTCACAAGGAGCTATACCTCACTATTAAAGATTTACTATATTTACAGCTTGGTCTCTGTAAGGACCTCGTAGTTGAAGTAAATATTGGAAGATTTAAAAAAAAACTCACTCTATACAAGATTTTCCAAATCTTGAGCCATTCTCTTAATGTGACTGCTATGTCGTGCACCACGCCGCTCCCTCCTGCCGACGCCAAAATGGTGTCACCACACCTGAAAATAAGTTTAAAACTTTTTTCAAACTTGATATCCACTGCTAAGGCAGATTTTATATGATTAACAGATTGACTTCTTGTAACTTGTAATCAACTTCATGAAGTTGATAACGCCGTCATGCATTAACTGCATGCAGTTGATCTCGGCAGCATGAAATCGGTTTCGACTGCATGCAGTTAATGCGTGAAGTCGTTATCACTTCATGCAGTCGAGGCCTCGATTGTATGAAGTTGAAAACGACATCACGCATTAACTGCATGCAGTTGATCTCGGCTTCACTCGACTTCACGCTGTTATCAAACTAAGTGTAGGCCTCCTTTCCGATCTTCGATTAATTGCATCGTTTTTTCCGGTTACTTAGACTATCGTCCATTCATCTAGCCTTGCGGCCGACGTTTCGGTACGTTATCAATGCCATCCTCGATTCTTTGTCTAACAGCGAAGAATTTAGTCCAGCCTGTATAGTGCCAACCGTAAAACACGGCGGATAATGATCTGGGGCTGCATGACTGATTCAGGAGTTGGCGAAATGTTTGTGTGTGAGGGTCGCATGAACTCTTCAAAATACATCAACGTCCTGGAATCTGCGTTGCTGCCCTCATTGCCCTCATTTTCAACTCTTTTTGGCGATACAAATATGGATGGCGTCAAATTCCAGCAGGATAACGCGCCATGTCATAAATCTGCCAGCACTATGACATGGTTTAGAGAAAAAAACATTGAGCTTCTGGAGTGGCCTGCCCAGTCTCCGGACCTAAACCCCATAGAACATTTATGGGGTTTATTAAAGCGCAACGTCAGGCGCCACCCAATAAATACAAAGGAAGAACTGAAACGCCGTCTGCGCCAAGAATGGAACGCTATACGTCCTGAAGACTGTAAAAATCTTGTCCGCTCTCTACCAAAAAGAATTTCTGCCGTAATTAAGGCAAAGGGTGGACACACGCAATTTTGATTTTTATTTAATAAATAGTAATATTAACATGTGTAAATAAATGGTTTTAAATTAATTCATTTTCATATTCCCCAAAAAACTGTGAGTTATCATGGGTGCTCAATACTTTTGGCCAAGGCTGTATAATAGCTTATCGCCATTTTCTGTCCGCTATGACACAAGCTTTTAGTTTTTTTTTTTTGTTATAACAACAAGTGACGGGACGAACAAGTCTTGCGTCTGGTGGTAAGCGACACAACTATCCATAAGAGTTGCAGTGCCAATCAAAACTCTAAATCGCAATGATCTTAGGAGCACTGCCACTGCGCCCGTCACCCTGAGACAAGCTCACATTACTGCTTGACGGTAGAAATAGGTAAGGTGGCAGTACTTCCCTGGACGAACTCTTTCACAAGGAAGAGCTCCTAAAAACTGCTACTAAAAGTTTCAATCAAAACCACACCACAAATTCATTGAGATTTTTTTTTCTTCAAATCGACACATCCGTAGAACAAAGGTCTATGTGTAAGACTACTTGTTCTCAGGGCATAGTACATTTCGTTCGTTCTTCTTCGCTGTGGATGTCAGATCTACCTTTGTTCGATTTTATATTTCCGAAACGAAGTAAGATATATAAATTCTCAAAATACCTTTACATAGGACCTAGTTTGAATAACGAAATTGTTCTCGTAACGTAGTTATTCTCTTTTCGCTATATAATCATATCGGACTCTGTTCTTCGGATGAGTCGAAAGGTTTGAATATACTGAGTTTGTGACCCTTTTGTTACTGCGGCTGGCACCACACAAGGTATCTCAATATTTAGTCATCTTTTTATTTTTTGTGTGAATAGTTCATGTTTTAATTTTATCTAATTTTTGTATATACATTTTTATTTTGTGTTTGTTTGTCTTTTTGTTTCGTAATTATATATTTGTTTTACGTTGAATGTTTTGATCGTGTTTTGTTTTAGTTCTGTTTTGTTCCGTTTTCTCTTTTTTTGTCTTTTGTCTTTTGTGGTGTCATTGTGGTAAACAAATAAATGTATTTTCTTTCTTTCTTACACGCAAAATCGGCGCCTTGACGTCGAGTTGCGGACACTAGCCCGTTACACCAAGTACCAAGTAAGTTCTTTCTTTCTTCTTTCTTTCTTAATATTTAAGATTCCAAAGCTTCACAATACCAATCTGCAGTGGCCTAAATTCATATTGCCAAAAACACTTCATACCATTAGAAATTTAGATTTTTTAATTTAAGCTCTCTAAAATTTCGTAATCATTTTCGTTATTCGAATTTGTACTCGATTAATTACAATGAAAGCGACGACATTTCCCAGGGCTTTATCAGTATAACATAGGTCATGTCGCCAATTGGCCCGGTCGCCGACCCTGATAAATGATGAATCAGGCCTAATTGAAATACTATCAGCGTTAGATAGAGTTATTATATTACAAGTTATATAAGCTGCTGGTAGCAGACTACTGTAATAGATGATTGATCTAGTTTCATATATCTTTGGCATAGGGCTGCAGCCGCATCCGCATATTTTCTAATATCTGCATCCGCATCAAAGTCAAAGTCAAAATAACTGCCTCCGTGGCCGAACGGTTACCATGCCGGACTGCCACGCAGTGGTCCCCGGTTCGATTTCCGGGCCGGGAGAAATATTTGTATGGCCTACATTTATTTCTCTCGTGAGTTTGGGTGTAATTTGTGTGTCAATGGCACCCGCGACACAGGGTTTCCCTAGTGCGGGGCTATGTTGAGTGTGTGCGTTATTATTATTATTAAATAATCATTTATTCTATAGATAAAATTTTCACACTTGAAAACGTCATTTTTTAAGCGACTGCTTGTTCACTATGCTGACCTCCCTGAGAAGAACGAACAAGAATCTCTAGGGATTGCTCTTTTCAAATAAACTTAAATGATATAGAATACATTTTGAGTCATATTTGTGTGGAATCTAGACTCATGTTGTCTTTCCATACATCTTTATCTAACACGTACCTAGTCTACAATTTTGTAATATGACTTTTCAATTAAAACACTTTTAATGTAAGTTTTAAACTTAGGAAATGGTAATCTTAATATATGCTCCAGAATTTTATTGGAAACTAGTATACAGTTCCCGTTAAAAGAATCATTTACCTTGACAAAAGAAATCGTGGTAGCATAAGTTTGAACTTAATCCTCAGGTTAATATTATGGATATCTTCTTTGTTAACGAAATTATGTATATTTTTTTATAGTTCATAGATCGATGCTGGGTTTTTGCAGATGCATCGATCGATGCAGAGTTTTTGCGGATGCAGATGTTTTCAAGGACAAGATTGTTGGGAACGGGCATTACGCAAATCCTTGCCAAGAACAAGTGTTAATAACCAGAGATCGGTGATTAGTTTTCTAAACAAATAAATAATTATTGAATTTACGTTGACTTACGTTACACATGGTAGTTGGGAACACTTTGTTTGATTATAAATTGATTTTCGTCACAGCTTATTGATTGTCGCAAGTAAATGATGTCATCTTTACGTATTAATAGAAAAGTGTTCTCTAACAGAATTGTGTAAAACTATAATATCGTTTTAAATTAACGTTTAGGTGACGACATCAATAAGTTTTTCACCTCACTAGCTCGGAAAGGCTTTCTTCCTAATTAGACATCTGCGAGCAAAAGCGTTTTTTCCACACTAGCTAAAGGGTTCGCGGAGTAGCAAATTAATTTACTTCCATTCTTATGTCAGTGTTACTCGTATTAGGTTATTACTTTTTTGAAACCTATGAATTAATGATACGATAAACGTAAAATTTTCTAATTTTTTTTTATAGATCCACACTAAGCCCTGAGTCGCGGGTAACATGGACACACACATAGACAACCACAAATTACACCCAAACTCTCGATAGAAATAAATATAGGCCGTACAAATATTTCTCTCGGCCCGGGAATCGAACCTGGGACCTCTGCGTGGCATTCCGGCATGGTAACCGTTCGGTCACGGAGGCAGTTAATAGTCGTGTGTTTTATGCCTTCAATTTAATACAAAACAGCTGACACATGCATATATAGTACATCTTTCACATTTACATCAGAAAAACGAAAGTACAAGTAACAGAGAACTTTTGCTTCAAAAAACAAATACACTAAAAAATCTATCGACTTTACCCTCATCTCTATGACAAACGTCAAATGAAGTGTCAAGGGATCATCCTAGTTTGCGTTTAAGCATGAAACACACAGAGAGCGGGTGAGGGTCGGGCGCTGGTCTGTGTTGTCGTCCTTATAAATACACGGAATTTGACCCGCCGCAGTCCCGACTAGCGACGGGGCGAGCTGTATTTTTTTCAATTCGAGTTATTCGAGTTGACCTGACTGCTCGGTCGCTGAAACTCGGCTCGGTGTCTGACAGAGTAACCACGAGTTGAGAGCGGAACTCGAACCGACGATTCACCGAGTTGGGATCGATCGTCCGGCCGACCGCGACTCGAGTATGTTCCGAAGGTCGCCGAACCTACCGAGTAAGACCGAGAAACCGATGCGCTTTATGAATGAAGTATTCGTCTTGGCGGGAACCGAACGGATCTAGCTCGAGTTCATAAAAAAGTAACTCGAGTTGACTCGTTGTGGGAGTAACTCGCGTTAAACTAGTTGAATAACTCGACATGCCCATCGCTAGTCCTGACCCGACTCGCGCCCGACCCGCTCCCGCTCTTTGTGTGTTTCACGCTGTAGTATAGGTAACATACTTTCGATATCAGTTTAAAGGTTTTTGATATCTGTTACATTTAAGGAATAATCGCATAGGCACACTTAACGATTACACCCTGTGTTTGTGAAGTGGTTTCAAGGGTTGTAAGGGAATTAATTTTCTGTACATGCACTATTTGGCACTCTAATACTAAACAACTACTCAATTTTGAGTAGACACTTGAGTAGACAAGTATTCATTCAACATGACAATGATTAGATAAGTATTTACCTGTCAACATTGCACTCTCGAAATAGAACGTAGTTTTTGGGGAAAGCGCCAACCGCCCCGGAGCGAAGACTCCTGCCCCAATACCAGTGGCGCGCCTCTCGCTCGCAGTGGACAAGTTCCCCGACTTCGAGGGGTACGTGTGGCACTGAAGAACTGGTGTTTGAATAGTTGTAGATGGCTGAAACAATACAAACGACTGATTTATCGACAAAAAACAATCTGTAATCAGTAGAGTACCAAAAAAATGTACCTCAAAAGTCATTCATCCCCTTGGAGGTGGGATGTTTTCTTAAAATTTTAATGGGTTCACAATTTACCCGCCTTAAAAAAAAGGTGGAGGTTCCAAATTCGACTGTTTATTTTTCTTTTTCTTTGTGTGAATTTTACGCGATAACTCACTACTACATTCGTACTCGGTACTGAGATTATTGAACAATCAAATCATTTTCTCGGGTAATTAAAATATCATGATGTAGGTATGGTAGCGATTTTAAGGTAGTCTCGCTTTCTATATTGGCCTCCAATGTCCGACGCCAATACAACACAAGGGTTGAGAAATTTTTGGAATCAGGGAACGATCCTGGAACAGCACAGGGAGGTGACAACAGAGCGCTTTCAACTGTATGTTCCAATAAATTTTATACCTACAGCAGATTTGCGCCTGTAATTTCACCAGCTCTTCAAAACCGGAACGCAGTAATGCTCACATTACTGTTTGGCGGCGGAAATACGTAAGGTGGCAGAACTTCCTTTAGACGAACGCTTTCACAAGGAGCTCTTCTGTTACTAAATAAATAATTACGTTTTCTGCTCATTAGCCGGAAAGGCTTTCTTTCACATTAGAAACTTGCGCGCAAAAGCGTTTTTTTTGCACGCTAGCGTGGAAAAGGTTTTTGAAATACCAACTTGATTCTTTCGATAAAAATAAAAAGATAATGTCGTACATTACTTATTTATGTAATATAAATTTTTATATTTGGCATATTTTATTCTTATTATTGTTGACATTCACTTGACAATGATAATTATTTTGTTTATTATAATTATTTTAATTTGTCGAAGAACTAAAATAACTTCAATAATCACACAAAATTATAGTACAAGCAAAAATAAAAATTGACGAGTACACGTTCCAACGCATCCGGAGATATTTTTTTTCTTTTGATTAAAAATACTGATGTTTTGTAGTTCAACTGATTTTCTTTCATCTAACATTTTCCTCGCTATAGTGAGGTGAAAAGTTGTGTGTTTCGCTCGGCAGCAAAGTTGTCTTGCGTCTCGTGTCTTGAAAACCTCGCTACGCTCTTAGCTTCCATAGCTATAACATAACAAATAACTAAGTATTATTTCTCACCACAAAATACAAAACAATATAAATGTTAGTATATTGTGGGAGCTGGTGCTTGATGTAGGCATTTCACGTGTATTACAAGTAATGTTGGGTCATGGGAAAATTCCCAGTTTGAAAAAATCATATTTTACAGAACAATAATTACTTTCCGCATTTTTTTATCCACTATTTTTCCTTTAATTTTCCACATTTGACGTTGACACCTATCGAAAGTTAAAGTTACTGAACGAAAAAGATGGAGCCATTAAACAGGTTAATTTTACTGTTATGAAACCATTTTGAATTGTCTCCTGTTCTCACACGCCTGTACCAAAAAAGGGAAACTTATGTCAGTCACTTCCATACTCTGCAGGACTATGGAACGTGTACTCAACAAACGTCTCCTGTCGTACCTTGAAGACAACGACCTCCTTAGTGATCGCCAGTACGGATTCCGACGAGGGCGATCTACTGGGGTACTTCTTATGTATGCCTGTCACATATAGAGCGAATCTATAAAAAAGCAAGGTGTGTCTTTGGAGATTTCTGAAGCCTTTGACAGCTCAGAACAGGATCTGGCACGCAAGCCTTTTAAGGAAGCTTCCCTCTTATGGGCTTCCCACTGACCTTTGCTATTGGATCTCGAATTTCTTGAGCGAACGTTCGATTCGAGTGGTTTTAGAAGCCTACTCTTCCGAACATCGGGCGATAGTTCCTCAGGGTTCCGTACTGTTCGCAACTCTTTTTCTGCTGCATATCAATGATATGTTAATTCCAGGTACTTTTGCGTATGCTGATGACAGCACAGTTGTATATAGGTACTTGACCAATGCAAGGGTCAGTGGAGAGGAAATCCAGTCTCGTTGAGAGTCCAAGGTTAGCCGTTTGGATTTGACACTCAAGGCTGTCTCCGATTGGGGCGATGCCAATCTTGTCAACTTTAACGCTACCAAAACGCAGGCGTGTCTATTCTCCACAAAACCGCGTCCCTTTGAGCTGACTTCGACTTTTCGTGATATATCCATACCAATACCCGACCGTCTCCAGCTACTTGGAATGGACCTGTCGTCCAATTTGAACGACCAGCTGAAGAAATCTTCAGCTGTACCAAGCATAAATCCGGTCGTGCATGGAGTACTGCTACCACATTTGGGATGGATCTGCTACATACCAACTGGCCACTTTGGATTCAATTGAGAACCGTGCCAAGAGGCTTATAGGTGACTCGGAATTAATGAAGGCAAATCTGCAGAGCCTTGAACACAGCCGTAAAGTTGCCTGCTTATCGGTATTTTACAGAATATATCACGGAGAGCGTGCGATGGAATTACACGATTTAATTCCGCCTTCCCCTTTCCATAACCGGGGGACTAGGCGTAGGCTTGGGTTGTGGACAGGGTTCGCACGAAGTGTTACGCTTCCACATTTATATGGCGAACGGCTATGGAGTGGAATTCTCTGCCTGCAAACTTGTTCCCTGAACGTCATAGCTTGGGCCTTTTCAAGGCAAGATTGAATAGGCATTATTTAGATGTGCATGATCCATCGTCGACCTCATCGTCAGCTTCCATCATTGTGAAAGGTCCAATGCGCACTTATATTTTATATAAAAAAAATCTCGTTTGTCTCTAAGTGGCTATTAGCTATATAAATTTATTTTATAATTCACGCTATATAAAACTTCAAAAGATATTTCTAAACGTAGAACACAATATGAGCCTTCGAAATTATATTTATCTAATTTTTCAGGAATATTTCCCGAAAAATGTCCACTATTGAAATTTAATAATATAAGTAGTAATTGTAATTTTATTACTACTAAATTACAAGTCACTGCCAGTTGATAGCATATACGGAGGATTGCTTAAATAATACAAATGATTATTAATGTAAAACAATGTACAACTGTTAACATTCCCGTCATTGCATCCGATGACGTCATAATATCCTGCCTGCTTTCTATTTTAGCACAACAAAGGACTGGCCAAATATGCGGACAATTTTATTTGAATTATGTTCGCAAAGATTTAAACGATGTCTCCGGTAAATCGAAGTTTATTTTTTATAATATCAAGTGACAGGACGAACAAGTCGTGCGCTAAGCGGTAAGCTACACGTCTGTGCGTAACAGTTGCAGTGCCACTAAGTGCTTTAAATCGCCAAGATCTTTAAGGAGCACTGCCACTGCGCCCATCACACTGGGATGTAAGTTGACAAGTCTCATCTCTCTCTAATTTCACCAGCACCCTTCAAAACAGGAACACAGTAATGCTGACATCACTGGTTGGCGGCAGAAATAGGTAAGGTTAGGTTAGGTAAGGAGCTTCTCCAGCCACTGACCTTTACTCGATTAGAACATATATATGGGATAAACTCAGTACAGAGTACTAAAAAAACCGACCTCAAAAGTTCGTGGAGTTACAACTATTTGGCAAGTTTTATTGAAATCGGTTACCGGGAAGTGCACGAAACCGGATTCATCTTCTAGTTTGCCACCCTAAATGGAATGTTTTCTTCAAATTTAAATGGGACCAATAATGAGATACCCTCTTTGCACCACATCAAAATCAGTTCACGAGAGTTAACGCGTAAGATCATACACAAAAAAATACAGTCGAATTGAAAACCTGCTCCTTTTTAATAAAATCTAGAACATGGTCTAAGAAAAACAAGCAACTAAACCCTAAAAGCGACCGTGCGGCAGAGTAAAACTATTCTTCTAATATCCAAAACGGTAATCTGAGGTAATTTGACGACCTCAGAGGCCTAGCGGTTAGCACTGTAAGCGCTGTACCTGTAGGAGTTTCAATTTGGGACAGGAACTTTTCCAAATTAGTTCTAGTCTGGGTATTCTGGTTAGCGCCCCGAAGTTGATTTCATTCTTGTGGTACTCGTAACACATGGAATTCCATAGTTGCGAGACCAGGTTTTCTGAATAAATGACCTCCGGGTAAAACAACGCGAAGTAATGCCCCACCAGACGCTTTCCGGCATAACTTTTTTAGTTAAAGGCTATAGACCCTGACCCCGAGGGAACGAAATAAATACTACAGACGAACGCTGGAAGGGGAACTAGCAGGATGTACAGTCATACATTTTACAATATATAAAAATAAAACCATAGCAGCACATTTATTTGATATTTAACACTATAAATATGCGAAACCCATAATTAGAACGTACCAGCTGAAGTAAAGATAGATAGCACGGAGGTATCCCCCTTTCGTTTGATATATGGGTTGGTTAGGCGGCACAATTAGGGCCACCTGACGTTGGTGTTAATGAAACTCATTAAGTAAACTTGCTACATTTGTCTCAATACATTTAGGAAATGTTAAGGTCGCATCTTTCTGCGATAGCCGACAAGACGCCCCTAGTGATTTTGAAAGTCGTCCAGTGTAGGTAGATCTGTTATAGTGAACACGTAAAAGACGGTGCAATGGTGGACAGGGTTCAAAATAGTCAAGTCGCTTGGTTGTAGATAGGTACGTCTGACCCTTAATTAGGTACGTACAAATAAAAAAATTAGAAACTCCTTATTACTCCTTACTGATCTTCCGCGAACGATTTTGGCAGTACTTGGCAAGTCGTAGCAAGTTGGTTTTCCTTCGACCCGGACTATTGGTTATAGGAATGACAAACCGCCAACTCCCGTAAGTGTCGTGTTCCACATGACATTACTACTGTCTTTACGTTACACAATTCTTTCAATATGATCAAATATTTTAATACACACACACAACACATAAATATTTCCAATACTCACTTGCAGCAATTAACACAACAAAAAAGGGGAGAACGTGAATCACTGGATGCCTGGACGCATTGAAATCGCGCACTCGCCTGCG